CAGAAAAAATGGATGATGGGTTGTAATCTTAGAGTAAGAGTTTAATGTATGTTTTCCTTATATCTACTGTAAAAGAAGTCAGAAGTCATTCTTTTTTTTTCTTTTTCTGTTTTTTTTTCTTTTTTCTGTACTTCTGCTTTCTTTTTTTTTTCTTTATTCTTTCTTTTCTTTTATTCTTTTTCTTGATTATTAGTTTTTGTTAGCTTTTATCTTTCTGTTTTTTTTTAATTTAATAAAGTTATTGTAAAAAAAAATACAGACTGTCCTCAAACTAAACCAAGGTCAGAGTAAATATGAGTAAAAACATTGTTCAACTGAGGAGGGGGGAGAAAAGTCAATTTCTGAAGAAGCTACACTTCTGTTTGAACCCATGGCTATAAGCCTTGCCTCACTTGATGTGGCCTCTAGATGGCATGGCATGCTGTCCTGGGGCAATGGGAGAAGTGGGGTGGAGTAGGGTGGAGTGCAGGTGGCTGCACAACAGAACAAAATATGGTTTTCTAATTTTAAATGTACAAAACTCTGGTTTGAAAGAAGTTAAGGGTGTTTTGGAGCCTACAGGGAAACTGTAGATAATTTTTAAATATTTATATATTTAAAATATATAGAGAGAGTCTTACAGTAAGAAAACCTGAGTGGAGAGAGAATGATAAGCATCAGTTACTCTAGCTCTTCAGTCCTGAGTTGTGTTGTTTCTGCTATGTCTGAAGGTCATTACTGAATTTTAGTGGTTGAGAAGAATTTGGGGATTCCTCCCTCTTACTCTGTAGTTAAACAGAACATGTGTGAGAGGCAATAAAAAACTGTAGGTATCAAGATTTTATAGCTACAAATCCTTTGATCTGTGTTGTCCAAAATATAAACAAAATTTATTGCATTTTAAAATATCTGACAAGGAAAACTTTCCATAGTGCCAACTATAAAATCAACAGCACTATTCCATTCTTAGTTGTGCTACTTTTGCATCTCTGATATGCCAAAAAAGAGAAGACTGCTGTAAACTAAGTCTACATTATTATTCAAGAGAGACGAATTCAGATTCATGGGTGTCTACATGACAGACAATTGGGAGTGGCGGGGAGATGAAACACACATTGTAATGTCATCAGACAAATGTTTCTGTATTTGCATGAGGTGTCAGAACACAAGTTTATAATAGAGACATTTGCATGCTGATATCACTAGGTGACTGACACCATTTTGGTGTCACAGCTGCACATGACATCTCTCTCAGGTGGAAGGTTGATCCGAAAGCAAAGTATTGATGATACCTTGACTGGTGAATCCCTCATTGCATATGAGTCTGAATGAAGTCTTTACATGTTATGTTCCACAAAATATTCTCTCTCTCTAAAATCCCAAATTCCTGGGATTTGAAGCCCAAGAAAAAATTGGAATGGCCTAATATTCTACCTTAAATTGAAGGGTTTGGGATTATTGAATATGCTCCAGGGACACAGTTTAAAATTGTCCCAAATTCTGGGGACTATGCAAAGTTCTCAGAACGTTTGGTACAGCATTGTTTTCTGAGAAACATTGCTCAACAAAAATACGTTACCTTAGTAAAGTGTAATGAATCCTTTTTCGATAGAAATCAATAATTGTCTTTTAAATGTTTTATCAAAAGTATTCTAGCTTACCTAATTCA